TCCAAGGCTGCTAAAATCTCAGCCCTAAGAGAGTCACCCTCACCAATTGGGCTAGAGACAAGGGCTAAGGCATTCCCTTCCTCATTTCTGAAAATTCCCCCAATACCTAATAGCCTTGGATTCCCAATGCTACTGCAATCAAAATTCAACTTTATATAAACCAGCAGGAGGGGGAACCCAAGGACTTATGACCCTTTTAACCTGGGCATAAGCCGTAGAACTTTCTTTTCTTTCCATCTTCTCCACAAATCATCTGCAGTAAAGTCTGGAAACAGGTCTAGGAGTTTCTTTCTTCCCACAACTCTATTAAGTTCTCAGCATTCCTCTCCTTATCTAAAAAAAATCCAAGAGTTTCTTTCTTCCCACAAGGACCAACACACAACTGCCCTAATACTCCACATTATCCCCCTTCTTTTCACCGGCCAACTGAAAAAGGATGGAGAGAACAAACTCTGTACATTCAATGCAGGGCTCCAACTACACCCGAAAAGGGATAAAGCCCAATCCCAAACAACTTTTTCATAATGGCAAGACACTAATAAGTAGTACCTATTCTCCTCATCTGCTTTGCAAAGAATACACTTGTGCGGGGATAAACAAGTCTTGGGTCTTTTTCTTTGAAGAAGATCATCAATGTTGATTCTTTCTATGAAAGATTCTCAACAAACACTTCCATCCTGAGGAGGGATAGGCTTGCACCATATCTCTTTAACAGGGAAAGACATCCCGAGGGAAGTGGATTGTTGGGTTAGGGTTTTAAAGAAAGAAACACAAGAGTAAGAGCCTGAGGGGGAGGGGGTCCAAATTCTACAATCTTCCTTCTGAGGATCCAGAAAAACATTTTCAAGCAATGCCAAAAGGGACATAGTGTTTTCTAAATCTATATACCTAACCGCCCTTCTCAAGTTCAGATTCCACCCATAACCAGAGGTTGCATATGAGGGGACTATAAAAGATGAAATGGGCACATTTTGTAGATCAAAGAGAGCATACAAAAAGGGGAACTGGATCATCAAAGGAGAGTCCCCTACTCAAGTTTGTTCCTAGAATTTGGTAAGGTTACCTGAGTTCAAGTCATACCTGGTTCATTGGGAGAAAACTGGAAGAAGGTTATGGATGGCTTTCCAAGGAGAGGTGCTTGTAGTCCTTTCCATGATTCCGGTATCCCAGCCATTGCCCTCCATCCAATGAATGCTAGCCACTATCTTTGCCTACAATTTATCCCTTTCTAAAGGAAATCTCCATAACCACTTCCCCAATAATGCCATATCCCTTTTCCTAATATTCCCAATCCCCAATCCTCCTTGCTTCTTGCTTCTAATTACCACTTCCCATCCCACCCTATGGTCCCTCCTTTCCTCTCCTGGCTCCCACAAAAAGTCCCTCATCAACTTTTCCAACCTTTTAGTTACCTAAGAGGGGATCTTAAACACTGACAGAAAGTAAACAGGTAGGTTGGTTAGGGTTGACCTAATTAGTATGATCGTCCCCCTTAAGGAGAGATAGTTCTTCCAAGAAGCAAGCCTTTTCTCAAATCTCTCCACCACTGGGTCCCAAAACCTTCATTTCCTGGGGTTATCTCCTAGTGGCAAGCCCAAGTAACTCATTGGCCAATTTGAAGTTGCACATCCCATAATATATGCACACTCCCTAACTTCCCTTTCCTCCATGTTTACTCCCACTAAACAACTTTTCTCAAAATTCACCTTAAGGTTAGACATTTGCTCAAAAAAGTTGTATAACCAATTTCAGACTTTGTATTCAATTCATATTCCCACCTTCAAAAAATAATTTTGTATCATCTGCATATTGCAAGTGTGTGAGTGGTATCTCCTCCCTTCCTAATCTCCACCCCCTTAATAGATTTCTTGAGTCAACTTTGTGAATCAATCTCCCTAAAACATCTGCAATCAATATAAACAAGAAGGGAGAAAGTGGGCCTCCTTGTCTTATCCCTCTCAATATTGGGAAAAAGTCCACCACTATCCCATTTATCAACACTGAGTAATGACAACTCCTCAAACATCCTTTTACCCATTTACACTATCTGTCCCCAAAACCCAAGTTACTCATCACTTGTAGCAAAAAGGATCAATCCACCAAGTCATAAGCCTTTTCTAGATCCAGTTTACAAACCACTCCTTTTTTCTTTGATTTTTTGAAGGCCTATACACTCTTATTTGCAGTTAGGATTTGGTCTGAGATTTTTCTTCCCTTCACAAAGGCTCCCTAGTTAGGTTCAACAATAGTGGGGAGAACTTGCTTAATCCTGAGAGACAACACTTTTGCAGTTATTTTGAACAGACTGTTGACCAAGCTGATTGGTCTAAAGTTTTTTGGATGTGTGGCATCTCTTCTTTGGTACCAAAGCAATAAAAGTGGAATTCAGCCCCAGATTAATTATCCTCCTGCTGTGGAACTCTTCAAACACTAATACTAGATCCTTCTCCAAGATTTCCCAACAGTCCTGATAGAATGCCATTGTGAACCCATCTGGACCGAGAGCCTTTGTTCTATCCATTGAAAACACTGCCTTCTTTATTTCCTCAACTTCAAACTTCCTTTCTAACCACTCCCTACATTCTGACCCCATATTTGGCCACTCCAATCCCTCTAACCACACCCTCTCATTTAGTAGTCATCTAAATATAGATTTGAAATGGTCTACAAAGGCCCTTGTTATATCTTCTGGATGTGAAATGGTTGATCCCTCAACTTCCAACTTCGATATAAAATTTTTTCTTTTTCTCCCATTTGCCACGGTGTGGAAGAACCTAGTATTGCCATACCCCTCCTTTAACCATTTGCAATGGGATTTTTGTCTCCAACTAATTTCCTCCTTATGCAAGTGATCCTCCAATTGTTTCCTCAAGACCCATCTTTTCTCCTTGTCCCCTTCTCCCATCTTTTCTTTCTTCTAATCTGCCAAACTCCAATAGGTTCCACTCTTTAATCCTAAGTTTCAAGTATTGGGGTTTCTTATGGAATTTCACTCCTTCCCATTCCACTGGGGGGTTACATTGTTCCAACCATTCTTTGACTTTCTTGATAAAGCCCAGATGGGTTAGCCACATGTTCTCAAATCTGAAGGGAGCAGGCCCATTACTCCTTAAATCTTCCTTGCAAATCATTATGGGCCAATGATCGGAAGTAAGTCTAGGGAGTGTTCTAGAGTTAATATTCCCCCAATGTTCTTTCCAATCAGTCAAGAAGAGGAACCTATCTAACATAGAGCAAATTGGGTTCGACTGGAGATTGGACCAGGTAAAGTTATTGTGCAAGTGGGGGATCTCTTTAAGCTCAAAAACTTCCACAAATTGATTAAATTTCCTCATACTTGTCGTCACCCTTTGCCTAGTGTTATTGGTTTCTTCTGAGAACCTCACTGTATTAAAATCCCCTCCAACACACCATTGTCCTTCCCATAAGCCCCTGATGTCTCCCAATTCTTCCCACATATTCTTTCTCTCCCTGTAATCATTGGGGCCATATACATTGGTTAGCACCCATTCAAACACATCCTCCACCTGCTTGAATTTCAGAGACTGAATGGTTTCCTACTAATTCCTCAATCCCCTCCAGTACATCTTCTTTCCACAAAGTCACTATCCCTCCAGAAGCCCCCCATGAAGGAGCAGCCACCCACTTAATCCCCCTAGCTCTCCAAATTCCATCCGTTTGGACTCCTGGGTTAATACCACATCAGGATTGGCCTTCCTTATCACTTCTTTAATTGTTGCTCTTTTTCTTGCACTCCCCAATCCCCTGACATTCCAACTATAATTTCATTTCTACCTCTTCATCTAAGAGTTAAGAAATGTTACCTCTCCTCTTTTGTGTAATTTCCTTATTAATTATAAATGAAATTCTGTTATTGATAAAAAATAATGATTCTACTTTCTCTGACTTATGATACGATTATGATTTTCACAACATTGGTCTAGAATCTTAGGAAATGGAGAGTTGTATCCCTGTTCCCTTATCCCCATCCATGTTGGAACTGTAAATAAGCATCATAAGTTCTAGTATATCCTTACATGTTTCTTTATTGCTTCTGAATCTCATTATATATGAACAGTGTTGGAAAGGCTTTACTTGACATCTGTGCTAGGCATAGAAGACATTGTCCACTTTTTGAATTACATATATAATATGTTACCCTCTTTCACACTATTTCTAAATTCCAATGATTTCAGTTGCACTTACAAATTAAAAGAAAAAGAATATTTGCTGAGATAAAATCATTTACAGGTAATATACTCTTTTGTTGACTGCAAGTCATATCCAAATTAGTAAATTATATCCACCACTTCCAATATATTCATATTTATATTTCAATAAAGAAACGTGCAAGGGTATATTTTTCAAATAGAAAATCAATAATTCATAGCCAATCACTGAAGTGACCCATCTGGATGCTATTCTTAACCCACAATATCTCCCATGTTATAGACAATGATTGTTACTGGAGCACGTTGGTGGAAACATGATTGGCACACAGACCATATTCAGCTTTTAACTTTGGCTATATATGATTATTGGGCTAGGAAATCTTCAGTGCACTTAGAACTGGAGACAGACTCCTTTTGAAACACTTATATGGAGTTGCCCATTTAAGGTCCATATCAGATTGCATCCCCACAAAAAAATACAGCTGTAGGATTGCTGATGCAATCAAAACTAACGGCCTGGATTAGCCTTAACCATTAAGGTCTGTATTTTATTGGCATCTCATAAAAAATACTGCTATAGGCTCATTGATGTAATCAAAAGTTCAAAACTAATGGGCTGCTTGGAAACATGGAAATGACTAAAGCACCAAAGCATGGTTAGTCAAATGCACAATCATTTATTTATTTAGAATACAGTGGTGAACCAATTTCAGTTGCCAAGTCTGGAGTTAGATAACCAGAAAAGGATGACTATAATGTAGGTTCTGCATGTTTATCAAATTTAGTTGCCCTATAATGAGGATACTAATTGGTCTTTGTTTTCACTAGTATGCTGGCAGGTTTTCCTTGAACACTGTTAGAATAGCAAAGTGTAAGCAACAGAGATGTTCATTGGACTTCCAATGTTTTGAAAATTGTAGAAAGTCGGTTCATAAGGAGACCATAATATTGGAATGGAACAGCAAAGGACTCAAAACAATAATTGTGAAAGAGAGAGTATAGTAGATAAAGCATGGAAGAGATTCATTTAGCTGACAGCCTGACATAGCAGTGTCTTGTTGGGTCTTGGGTGACCTGTGATGGAGGTTATTAGGTAATGGAGTTCTTGAATTTTCATCAGTTTCATATTGTACCATACAGACAGAAACTATTAAACTGAGACTTTCAGATTTTTTAATTGGTGAGTGGGGAAACAGAACATGCACATGGACTCCTGTTCTAGAACTATCCAATCTGAGCTTCACAGTTCTGGCCAAACGCACCCTTATGTACAAGGCAAGTTTCTTTTTTTGCTTTACTGCATTATTTTATAAAAATATATTAGATAGATATTGATATATAGTGCTCTTCTGTGGTTGTTTTTTAATTGTGTTTACAGAAAAATGCAGTCCTATTTGAACCTTAGTTGGCTGGCTAGGTTGGACTTGTTCAAGGAAGAAATTGACTGCTTATAAAAGCTGGTAGCATGCATATTAAACTTGTTGAGCAGAACCTGTAACTGAACTGTACAGGTTTCAGTGAGCTAATCAAGGGCCGGTATGAATATTAAGGGTTTCAATGCTTCCATGTGGCCAATCATTTCTATAAATGGCATGTCGAGCCTGGATTTTCCATGATGAACTTGGATGGTTCTCTAAGTGTCCTATGCCAAATAGAGCTCAAGTTGTGGAGAGTCCTCTGTCTATTGGCAAATCATTGAAATGGTGGATAAGGAAGTATAGTGGAGGAAAACAACCTAATTACTTGCAAGGAATGCTCTGATCCTAATAGTGTATCCTATATTATTTTTCTCTTACAGAAATAGATAAGCAAGGAAAATTACGTTTTGAGCCTTGTTAAAATTTCCTTTATTGACTTTTGTTCTAGAGAAACCTACCTCAGTATGACTTTCCTGCTCTCCTGATTTTTTCTTTTATTTATATCTGCTCTTCCATGTGACTGCACCCGAATATCTGAGCTAATCTCAGCTATAATTCTTCTCATCTGGTTCAAAGTACTCGTTATTGTGTGGCCTTTGCAACAGATTTAGATAATGTGCCAGTTGTGTGTCAAGTTCATGTAGCTGAAGGCTTTGCAACGCTATCTTTTGAGGTGCCTATGTTAACCACTGAAGAATGCGATTATATTCTCAATTAGAGCACTTAATTTGGTTGTGTACAAGGCAAACACTTAACCAAATAATTGCCAGAACAGACCAAATAGTAGAATTGCAAGTTCTACCGTGTTGTCTTTTGTCTGCTGAGCAAGGCACCTGGTAGCACTTAGCAGTTAGCAGATGTAGGTTTTTATTGTTGCAAATTTGATGTTATTCATTCTGAATTTGGGAGGAAACTGAAAAAATATTGATGTAATTTAGTTTGGAAAAAAAATCCAATGTAATATTGTCAGATTTGTAAAATATGAAATTACAGTGATTGAACCAGGAAAAAAAATACAGGACTCACAATCCTTCTATGTACAAGTAGACGCACAATGCATCTGGAATTCCTTTGGTTGTGCCAAAGACCAAGTTTCAGAAAGAGTGCATGTGCATATGGTGCCTTCCTACAAAATACAAATCAGTCACAAGTCTTGGATAATTCTTTCTTCATGGGGTTGGGCTGTTTACATTTCTTCATCAGGTTCATGACTCGACAAGGGATTCATCTGCTAGCATGTCCAGCATCTTGCCATGGTGGATGGTGTCTTTATCTTCAAGACATGAATGAATTTTTATGAGCATTATGATACATAATACCGATCCAAGGAAGATCTTTAGCCGGTCTAGTATAGTAATGCTGAATTGCTGATGGACTGGTAAGCAATCTCAGGCTGGCCCATTGCCAATTTGTCACAACACCAGGTAACAGGGGAGTCCGGTTTGGCTCCCCACTGAGCAGACCCCACGCGCGCCCCACTGCATCTCAGTGTGCATTGGGAATGTCTCCTCTACTTGTCATGGGGAGATGTTCCCATTGAACTGGGATGTGCTATGGGCACGTTCTGTGGGGGGCCAATGCAATCACATAATGACTCTGGATTTGCTCAGAATGCACCTCACACGAACCTCAGCATGTGGCAACCGTGCAATGGGAACATCTCCCCAGAATGACAGCATACAAATACGCGAGATATTTCTGATGTGCAGTTGCAAGTGCTTGGGAATATCTCCCCAGAATGACAGCATACAACCATGCGAGATATTTCTGATGTGCACTGGCAAGTGCTGTGAGGCGCGCTACGTGATGAGTAACAAATCCGAATTCTCACATAACAGGGAGCTAGTCATTACTCATTAGGGATGCAAACGGATGGGATCGGATTTGAATCTGATCTAACACTGTTTATGCTGGATCCCATCTGATCTGATAGGATTTTATTTGAATTCGAATTCTATTGGTAAGTCAGATCTTTAGATCTGATTCGATCCGACTTGTTTTCTTTAAAAATTAATAAATTATTAAAAGAAAATTAAATTACACTAATTTAAATAAACAAAAAATACAAGTATTTTTTAATTATTTTCATTATATATATGCATACTTTTTATAAAAAAAAAAGTAATATAATAAATTTATAATTATATAATACATGTTGGATCGGATGGAAGGGGGTGTGATCCAAATCCAATCTGAAGATTTGAACATGAATGATTCAAATTCAACCAAATAGAACCGGATCATGATCCGACCCCTACTAGTCATTGTGCTAAACGGTAATTAGAATATCTAATATAAACTGAAAGTATGAAAATAATTCGCTTAATCTGTAATCCAGGGATGGGAACATGAAGTGACTATAGGTTGGCTACGAAGTTGAGGCTGCAAAACTTTGGAATCAGATAGAATTTGGATACATCCCTATCTGATCCAAATCCGACAATATTACAATGTAAATACATTTGTTCACATGAAATTGATACATATTTCATATTTGTCAGCAAAAGCCATTTCTAGCTTATTTTATTAATAATACACAATATTCCGATCGTTTACCGATTCTCTTCTTATGAGCTCATTGATGCATCTCAGCGTTGTAATCAAGCAGTTCATTTGCTTAATAGCATAATACTTCAATCACCTGATCCTCCACACTTGACTGACTTCCTAAGTTTATTAATTGTTTCAGAGATGTAATTCGTTGATGAAAAACAATTGAGGACATGTAATATGCAAACGGAATGAGATCCAATCTTTTCCAGCCTGTCCATGTCACATGTCAGTGTCCTCTCACTCAGGCCCAATCTCCTGTCGACGGAAACTTTGCTCACATAACATCGTAGTCACACATGGAGAACATCTCATCTTCATATATAGTATCATTTGCTCTATACACATGCTCTTCAGCCAAAATTGTGTGACTGACAGAGGCGGAGGATTAATAAACTAAGGGTCTGTTTGGATTGCAGGAATAGAGGTTTGGAATTGGAACTAGAATGGGCCAACTGCTTGGTTGGGCGGAATCGAAATCCTATTCCCATTCCTGGTGGAATGGCATCCGTTCATTTGAAGGAATGGTCATTCCCTCTCCCTCCGGAATGAAATCCCATTCCACCTTATTCTAATTTCCAATCCTACTCTTGTCTGAACCAAATAGACTGAGAATAGACCATTCCAATTCCAACTGTAAACCAAATGCACCTCTTGATTTCCCTTTTAATTTTACATTAAAAAGAGGAAAACCAAATGTAGAATTATGCATCCCACTCTCTCGTTGGGAAATAAGCCCGAATAATTGTTTCTTAAGAAAATCAGCCCATTTTGAATAAGCTCAAAATGTTGGCTTTTTTTCAAACACATTTTGAAAAGTATTTTGTTGTGTTTTTGGTCCATCTTGGCCCACCACATAATTTTCAAAATACCTGTACTACCCCTTTTGAAAGAAACACTTCTTCACTAAGATTTACAACTACATAAAAAAATTGAAAATCATAATAAATAAATACCCCCCCCACCCTTATGATTTTGGATATGTTCAATATCTTGATAGAGAGAACTGGTTAAACTTGCATGATTGTAGTTTGAAAAGAAATACTGATTTTACGTGTAACAGTGCCTGAAGAATCCGATGCCACCACTCAACACATGTTTTGCTGGATATGATCCCATCCATATGGGGGCCATTTTATGAACGGTCCAGATCTTTGTGGAGGTATAGACATACTATTATGTCAACAATGCACAGCATCTTCGTCACTGACCCAAAAATAGTCCAATTTTCCATGCAAAAGAGATCATCAGATTCACAGGATATTGACATATTGTTTGATTACAAATCACAATTTGTCAAGACTCACGGTCATAGGCAAGCTTTTCAATCAATAATATATTAACGCATTTTAAATGTAGAATAGACTTAAAATTGTTGAATCTATCAATTATAGTTATAAAATGGACATTGATATGCAACTACAGGTCTTAACCTTGACTATAGTGATGGATACATTTACTGTCTAGGAACGGCGTTGTGGCATTCTCTTTGACTACTGTTTTAACTTTTCTCTTTCTCTCTCTAGTAAGCTAGGTTTGATTTGAAGGAAAAAATAGGGAAATGAAAGAAAATGTAGAGAAACTTTTACAAATTTTGTATAAGTTTTCTTGTTTTTCCTTATTTTTTCCTTCAAACGAAACACAACTTATAGGTAAAATCTATAGCGCATTTGTTGCACGCACCATGCAACAAAAGATGTAGATGAATGGTATATGTGGATCATATATCTTGTTAAATCTTGGATCATATGTCTTTAATGTGATTGATTGAAATCTGAATATTTGTTTCTTGAAACTAACAATAAAATGATATTTAAAACATAGAAATATCTATAATGTCGGAACAACTTTGATCAATCAGACCTTTGATGAATACCAACTGATAATAGATAGACCCAAATGGTTTCAGTAGATTCAATCAAACCGTTGATTAAAGCATTAGACTACTAGTGAAGAATATGACTTGGACCAGTAAAGTAAAGAGTGATTAGCCATCTTATGACCAATTCAAATAATTTGATTATTAACTAGACGGCAACAATGAGGTTACTCAATGTGAGTTTTCAGACTACGACCTCTGTCCTGACTCCTGACCAAGTCTGTCTTTAGCCTGAATTTGAATGCATTTATGAGAAAAAAATATCAAGACAGACTTGCTCACATTGATGATGAGCTTGAATATTTTATCTTTCTTCTTATACTGCAATTTCCTGTTGACAATTTGGAGCTTGTATCACTCTTTTTCTTGTCTTGTAGCCAATGAGCTATGTTTTCATGCCCATAAGTTCTCTAAAAATATCATTACAG